GGTAGCCATAATCACTACCCGGATATCTGATTACCCGCGGGTAACCCGGGTAATACCCGACCCGGGTACAAACACTATTTATAATACTGTTTTTGACTTTAATACTGGCCTGCTTTAATCTTAACCTATACAGGTAACGTAACTTATATTGTAAGTTACATTATCAGGTAAGTTGTAACAATTTTTCCATGTTCTTGTTGTCAATAAAATGGTATTCATGTGATCATAGTTGTAGTGTAAACAAATTATCGTTATATTTTTCTGAATTCATATCTTATTAGCAACGATTAGTATGAGATACCCTAATTAGAAGCTAGTCAAATCTAAATATTTTATTAAATATAGAAGTAAAGGTGATAATAAAGTTGTAGAGATTATAATTTTGATTTTATTAATACTAAAATCACCAAAATAGCCTAGTAATCATGATATATAAACATTTAAATCTTTATAGTTATATAATCTGTTTTTAAATCTTTAATATGTTTATGAAAATAAAAATACTCATATCTCATGATTTTCCAATTTTAGTGATTTTGACATCATTGGAATTATAATAATTTCCTTCTCAACTTTAATAGAAGCATGAAACTTTTACAATATGTATAAAAATCTATTGATTGGTCAATATTTTAAAATACTATTTATATATAGATCATAATAATTGGCTGTTAAAAATTCTCATTGATTAGTTGATTTACCTAAAAGCTATGAAATTTCTAAACCCTTCTAGACCCTTCTTTTCATGTACAATAACTTAAAACTTTATATTTGTGTTCAACAAAGCTTTAGCTTTCAAGATCTGAAAATTATATTTCAAGATCCCAAATTAGAAAAAACTTTTACTCGTGACAATGCTAAGAAGTAGACTATGCAAAAATACAGGACTATACATAGTATACAGCAAGAATAATATTAAAGAAAAGTTTTGCATATTGATACCAGATCTCTTATTTAAAGCTATACAAAGTCTTGTAGCTTTAGATTTAAAAGTAAAGCTTAGTTTATATAACTAATTGTATATAATCATTATATCAAATTGATTGCATTCAATAGAAATTCAAACCCAAGTAAAAAATAAAAGTATTATTATTCAATCCTAAATAAAAGATGAAAATTTTGTTCAATTTACAAAAATAAAAGATATACAAAATATAAAAATTTTAATAGACAATAAAATGATAAAAAATATTACAATAGTAATATAGATATTCCTGAAGATAAAAAAAAAGCATTAGAATAGTATTTAAAATTAGCTAGAAATAGAAACTCTGATAGACAATTGAGCATTGAAGATTGTTACTGAAATAGTACTGTCATATTTAAAGATAAAAAGAAAGCATTTGAATAGTATTTAAAGTCTGCTAGAAACAAAAACTCTAATAGGTAATTAAAGATGGAAATTGCTATAGAAATAGTATGAAAATAACTAAAAATAAAAAGAAAGTGCTTGAATAGTATTTGAAATCTGCTATAAGTAAAAATTTTAAATAACAATTAAAGGTTAGAAATTGTTATTAAAATAGTATAGATATATATAAAAATGAAAAGAAAGTATTTAAATAATATTTAAAATCTACTAGAGATGAAAACTCTGTTAGACAATTAAAGATTAAAAATTGTTATTGAAATAGTATAGAAGTAACTAAAGATAAAAAGAAAGCTTTTGAATAGTATTTGAAATCTGCTAATTACAGAAATTCAGAAGATTAATTAATTATTAGAAATTGTTATCAAAATGGTATTAGTATTCCTAAAGATGAAAAGAAAGTATTTGGTTGGTATCTAAAATTTGCAAAAGATAGAAATCCTAATAGACAATTAAATATTAGATTTTGTTATGATGAAAGGATAGGTATTTTAAAAGATAAAAAAAAGGTAATTAAATGATATTTAAAATCTGCAAATAGTGATAATTCAAATAAATGATATGATATTAAAATTTATGATGATGATAGCATAGGTATTTTTTAATGATAAGATTTATTTATCCTATAAAATTTATAAATATTTATTGGAAAAGATTTCAACTATTTAAAGCTTGCAAGAAGATAAACATGGTATTGTATAATTATTTTAAATGTTAACTTTTTTTAAAATACTTATTATTAATCATAATTATTATTATTGAAATTAAACTGTTTTCAAACTATTTTAATAACCAAATAGTGCAAATAACAAAAGTTATTTATCAGAACTAACAGTATGAAAATTAATCACAATTGAATGCTAAAGACTTTGTTAATTTAATCAAATATAAAGATTCAAAACTTCAACAATTTTTTAATATTTTATTCAATACAATAAATCTTAAGGAAAAAAGTCTAAAGATATAAAAAATTTTGAACCAAAAAATCATTATATTTTGTTATCAAATAGCTAGATTATGAAACAAGCAAGTGAGTAGTTCTAAAACTGCAACAGAGTTATTCTTTGCAAAGTCTAGAGTATCTGAACAATATATTAATATAGCTACTAGTATAGAGCTATGTTCTACATATCAAACAATTTTTAATAAGCTCAATAAAATAAGTAATGAATATTATTTTAGTATATAGAAATATATCTAAACTTATATAAGTTAAATTTTTTTTTTTTTTTTTTTACTTTATACAAATGCTATTAGCTGAACTTTTATTAGTATTGATAATGAGTAAATGATACATATTGTGAGAATACAACTAGTCACATGTACAACTTTAGATTGTCTAATTTAAGTAGTCTGCCTGAAGATTCTATACTGCTACTATACTTGCAATCTATTTGAAGATTATCTATTTAAACCCTCTAGCCCTATGATACTTACTCGTATTCTATTCTTATTTTACTAAAGTTTGTCTAACCCTATACTACTTCTCTTTTTAGAAGACACCTAAGCTAATATTAGTCTACAAACTTATAATTTAGAGCCTAGGCTCTATTACAAAATACAAGTCACTCTCGTTATAGTGAACTCTCGTTATAGTGAAGATCGGTCTATAGTGAAGAATTTTTTTAGTACAAAATCAAATATATTAAACATTCTCTTGATATAGTAAAGTTACATAGTAAACTCTTGATATAAGATATAGTGAAGATTTTTTTCGAACAGATATAACAAAATGTCACTCGATATAGTAAAGTCAGTGTCATGTGATATAAATTAACCAATCAGATGAAGCAACCAGATGATCATATACGCATATATCATAGTAAAGACTTTGGGGTTATTTCTCTTTTTTAGCTACATAGTGTATATTGACATGTACTTCTTGTAGTAGATTCTAAAAATACGTATATATATACGTATATACATACGTAATTGTTAAGCAAAAATGTATAAAAAGTATATATTAGAAATTATAAGTGATACTCTTTAATATGTATTAAACTATCGTTAATTTTTAGAGAGTTTGAATAAACTTTTAAACCTCTAAACTTCTGAACTTAATTTACAACTTACGTGCTTTGTTTTTTTTTTTTTTTTTTTTTTTTTTTAAAAGAAATTTTTTTTTTTTTTTTATGTTTCTTCTTTTCCTCATTATTATATACAAGAAGACCCTAGTGATTTAAGTGTCATATAATTGCAGTAGTGTTCTCAAATCACAGTAACAGTAATTAGCAAGGTGAAATTAAAGGAATACACGTAGTAATAAGTGATAGTATAAAATCTTCCAAGGAACCAAAGAAGCGAAAATGTAATAAAGAAAATAAATCACCTGCAAAAAGAAAAAGCTTAACAGGTACTTAAAAAGCAGAAATATGCTACCTAAAACAAAAAGGTGTTAGTCAAGTCAAGTTAGCTGAACAATTTTTTGTTGCTGAAGCAACAATTTCAAATATTATTCGAGAAAAAGATAGGTGGTTATCACTTAAACCAGGTTCTAATAATATTAAATTGAAACGACAAAGAACTGCAAAGTTTCTCCTACTAGAAGAGGCACTTGCTCTTTGGGTATCAAGGGTAACTGAGGTATTACAAACAGGTACAGAGGTAATAATTACACACAAGGTAGTTCAACTTGCAGAAGGTCTTGGTATAATAGGTTTCAATACTTCTGAAGGATGGCTCTCGAATTTTAAGAAGTATTATCATATAAAGGAATACAGGCGTCAAGGTGAAGCCGCAAGTATGCCACTTGAAGACTTTCCTAGATTTCGTAATGAATTATATGAAATAATCAAAGAGTATAAGCCTGAGGATATTTATAATGTAGATAAGACAGCATTATACTAGCGTATAGAACCAGACAAAACATTGGCTAGTAGTTCAGTTTTGGGAGAAAAAAAAGCCAAAGACTGTATGACAATTTTATTAACATGCAATGCGACTGGAGAGCATAAACTTCCTCCTTTATTTATACACAAATATAAAAATCCTAGAGCTCTTCATAATGTTGATAAGTCAACCTTACCTGTGTATTATTACTGGAACAGTACTGCTTGGATGCAAACGTCTATTTTTAATCGATATATCAAGCATTTTGATGATCAAATGAGACTTGCTAGTTGGTCAATTCTTCTTCTCATGGATGGAGCATCAACTCATGGACTTGAAGAGAGCTACACTCCAACAAATATAAAGCTTCATATTCTCCCTCTGAATACAACAGCTCACCTGCAATTGTGTAATGCGAGAATTATTTGGAGTTTTAAGGTAAGCTAAATAATTTCTTATAAAAATTTTTTTTATTAAAAATTATTAATACATTGTTGCTTATATAATTTAGGCGCATTATAAAAAAATTTTCTGCCAAGATCGTATAGATTTATTCGATTTTTTTTTAGAATCTGGTGAATCTCCTGAACCTTTAAATATTAAGAATGCAATCGATTTTACCGCTACTGCTTGGAAAAAAGTAACCTCACAAACTATCCGTAACTGTTGGGAAAAAACTGGTATTCTGCCAAAGGATTTTTTTGATGAATTATTTCTTTTTGAGAATTCTAGTTTAACTAATGAATTAGATCTTATAGATGAAATTCAGAATTTAATTAGACAGTTACCTCTTGACTAACCCATGAGTGCACATCAATATATAATTGCTGATAATGATCTTATTGCTACTGAGATTCTAACTAATAAAGAAATAATTGAGTCTGTTAAGAATCATGAATACATTGAACCAGAAGATGAAAGTTCAAAAAAATTAATCTCCTTTGTTCAGGCCTTGGAATTCATTAAAGGAATCTCATCTTTCCTTGAGCAACAACCTGATGGTAATTTCAAAGTTAAAGATTCTTTTATTTGGGGTTTAAGACAACTTAAAAAAGAAGTAAATTTTAAGTATATTGCTTCAAAACAACAAGCCACCTTAGATACGTTTATTCATAATACAAATTAAAGTTTTTTTTTTAAGTAAATTGGCTTAATAAACTTGTTGTTTGCTTTAAATATATTTTAATTTGTCTAGTATATTTTACATTATATAATTGTGATTAACTTAAATCTATTTAAAATGTAAATAAGTTAAGAAGTATTAAATTAATACATTGCAAGAATACTTATACTAGGTTAACATCAAAAATCGCTTGTATATTTAAATAAGTTAGGCTCAATTATTTATAATATTAAAAAGTCGTAATTTAACTTATTAAAATATATTCTACTAGCATTACTTATATCTAAAATTCTTTCTTAAGGCTTTCTTTATTCGTATATTGAAATAACATCAAGTATTTTGTTTTTGTAACTTGAGTTATTACACAGGTCTTATGTAACAATCTGTGCTTTTTTAACTTGGTTATTGCACAGGATTGTACACCAGACACTGTGCAATAATGCTATTGTACAGGCATGTGAATAACCTGTGGCCGAAGGCTACTACATACCTATACAAAACTATAACTAACCTTCTATAAGTACACATTTATAGAATATGTATTTATAAAGAATAATCTACAAATAATGTTACATAAATTGCACTTATAGAGGAACAGTGCATGTGAAATACACTTATAGAGGGATGCACTTACAGAGAGTCAATCATACGTACCTAGTTTTTAAATATTTTAAATTTTCTCTTATTATAGTGAAGATCTATATATCTAATATATTATCTTCACTATATCAAGAGCCTCTTGATATAGTGAATCTCTCAATATAGTGAAAAAAGTTTCATATCCTGATGACTTCACTATAACGAGAGTGACTTGTACCTTTTCATCAACTTTCTAATTGATAAGGTGCTGTGGTACTCAACTATACTATGCTATATTCTAATTTAGCTTGCATATACTCTTGTTCGATATTCATATAAACCTGGTTCCTACTGTAGCTTTCTATCAGATTAGTTATTTATGTCTCCAGATATCATATGAGATAGGCTCTCTCAAATCTGATTACTACTCAGATTGGTGTTGCTGAAAGTTATCTGTATCTCCAGATATCACATAGAACAGATCCTCCTAAATTCAAGTTAGCTACTAAGCCAAGTTGGTATTGCTATATGATCTTATATAACAGACTTATATGCACTCATTCTGCTAATCTTTTTGTATGCAGATTTACTAACAGACTTGCTTGTATCCTAGTTGCTGATCTTTTTATAGCAGATTTTCTTCACTCAAATCAAATGTTAACTGATATGACTATTGAAATCTATACTACTTTATCTAACTTGTGATTTCTGTTATGCAGGTCCCTTATCTATATATTCTATCAAGATTTATTCTTGTAATGTTATATTTCTCAGATGCTCTATCATACTTCTAATATCTGAATAATATTAGTATAATGTGATTTATAGAGTTACAACTTCCAAAACAAACAGAGTTTATTGTAAGTTAGATACAAAGGTCTAAGTAATTATTCAATTCTGTCAACAGTAAGATTTGAACTCTAGACCTCTTATATAGTAGTCTAACAACCTAACTACTATACTAAGATCACTAGACCTCTAAATATTTTTTTTTTTTCTACTTAAGTGATCTTGCTCTTTCTTTTATTATAGATAGTTTATCAGAAGATAATATACAGTATACTATTATATCTCGACATAATTATATACTACTCTACAAATTTGGTCTGAACTAACTCAGCTATATTAAACGTACTCAAGTTTGATTTGCTGCAGAAGCTATTTATCTTCTAAAAGTAGTTTACTATATGAACAGTATATCCTAACTTTTGATCAATAATCAGCAACTTCTAGTCACTATTAAGATCCTAGATCTTTCCTAATCTAATCTAAGACTAAACTAAAAGTTGTTAATACCTAGTCTCAAGATAGAAAAAAAAAAAAAATTGTTATAGATAATAAAAAGTATAAAGCTACATGCTATAAGAATGTAAGTATAGTATAGAAAACTTGCTAACAAGTAAAAAACTATACTTGCAATAAGTAGATAGAAAAGAGAACAAAACAAAAAAACAAAATAAAAGAAATGAAATTTTCTTTTTGACGTAAAAAGAAAAAAAAAACCCCCCCAAAGTAGTTCTACCTAAAGGCAAGTCTAAAAGCAAGTACTACCTTTAAAAATTATATATACTAGTTGCTACCTATGTATATCTCTTTGAATAACAATTTCTAATATGTCTATTTAGTACTAATCCAACAAAGCAAGGCCTTTACAAATTTCACGTAGTATTCAGTCAACAGAAGTTAACTATAGAATATACGCTATATATATTTACGAGTTGTTATTGTTTAGTAGTATTTAACATAACTTTTCTAAAATAAAAATAGTACAAATATCAATCTTTTAGCAGGAGTAAGCCAAATTCCTACTTTTTGTTGTTAAGAAACAAAGAGAAACAATTTCAAGTCCAAAAGTCTAGTTGTCGAGAATATAAGAAGTAGTTCTTTAAAAAAACAGAACTAAGAGAGTAGTAGTATGCTTAACTTAGCACAAGCATAGTTGGAATCTTTCTTTACTTCTTCTTTTCACCTTCATTACCTTTCTACTAAGCAAACTTAAAGTTGCACTGCTAAAGTCAGACAGCAAAAAGTCTAATACAACCTTGAAACTGACTTGTTGCAGTTCTTGCTTCTAACTTATTGTAGTCTTGTAGTTTATTCTTTACGTAGTCAGACACTTTAAGTTGTTTTACTAGATAGTAATACAAGAAAAATAAATTTTTTGTTATTCTGTTAGTTTGGTTTTGATAATCGTCAGAAAGAGTTGTATTGTTTAGTTCTTGAACCTCTAAATATTTTTTAATAATTTAAAATATAATATATATTTATATTAATATATGAATAAAATTTTAGTCTAATAATCTTTGAATAATAAGTGTAAATAATTATCATAACTTTCATAATACTCATATTCTATCAACAACTTCTATTAAACAAATTTTTCATATAGCTACTATATTATTTAATATGATTAAAGCTTTATCTATTTTTTATAATTTATTATACAATCTATCTATTTATAATCTTCATAGTATTGATATATTTCTTTTGAAGAATATTTTTAAAAAACAATATATTTTACTATTCTAATAGTTATAATTTAAAAAAATCATATTGAAGTTAAATATCTAGTATATCTAATAAAATGAATTTAATTTTTTTTTTTTTTTTAAATTCAGCAGTCATGCTATAACTTTATTTAGATTTGTTTTCTATTTGAAAACAATATTATTTAGCTAAATACTATCTAATATCTAATTTTTTAAGCTATAACTTACTCAGTTATTCTATAGATACCTATGTGTGATCTGCTATAGTAACCTTTGTCCTATGTTAAAGTAGTTTATAAAATATAAGCTGCGACTCAGCATAAGAAGGATGCTACAGCCCATCATAACTAACTTTTAGATCCAACTAGCTATTATTCTCTCCTTTACTTCTTTAACTATACTATCTAATACTATTTTAAGACTATAATTACAATTTTCTATATTTCTATCTACTCTGTCATTTGTTTTTCCTATTACTGGTACTTTTTTCCAGTTCCTTTTTTCTTTCTCTTTTTATAAGTATTTTTCTTTTTTTGAGATTTTTTTCTTTTTTTTCCATGCCTCTATGTCTTTGCATCAATTTTTCCATATCTCTTTATATACAAGTTCTATCCAAATATGCCAGAAGAGACTTCAAAATTTGATCATTATTCTTTCAGAGCTGACGATATTTTTGATTTTTTCTGCATCTTCTTTGCCAAGGATGCCTCTCATCCATTCTTTCTTTTTCTAATACTTTTCTTCTCACTTATAATAGATAGCTTGTTGTATACTTGTTAAATCCTAATCTTCTTCCTTTCTTTTGTTTTTATTGAGCTGTTTCTATGTTTCTTCTTCAATTTTTTTGTATGCTAGATGCATTTTTTCACATGAGATAATGTGTTTGATTGTTTCCTTTTCCTTAGCACACCTTTTGCATAAGCTATTTTTGTATAATTGTGATTTTCTACAGTTTAAAGCCTCAACTATTAGAAGAAGATTTTTGATGTATTTGATTTTGAACAGTCACAGATAGTTTATTTCTGAGTTTTTGTATTGCAAATAGCAGCTCTCAAGGATATCTTTAAATACTTTTCAGTTTTGTTTTTGGATTCTTGCTTGGTGTTCTTCATCATTTCTCTTTCTTAACTATGTCCACTCTGCTTTGTATATTGTTTGGACTATCTTTTTGATAAAGGCTCTCAATAGAGTCTTAAGACTTAGGCCTTTCTACTCGGGGATATACTTTATACTCATATTACTTATATTACTTAGTTCTATACTCTGTGCTTCGTATATCCTTTCTTTTGCAAGTGTGTCTGCTATATCATTATATGTATCACTTGAATAACTTTTGACTTTAGTAAATACTAATTGTACTGATTTACTCTTGCAGACCTTCTTGATTGCACGCAATATGTTGTTGTTCTTGGTTTTTAACTACTCACATGACTTCTTATTTTTGAGACAATTTTCGATTGTGAGAATTGTACATATGCTATCTGTTCTTATTTCTACTCTGCAACTATTAGGAACTAATAACATTGCTACCAGACAAGCTACTAGCTCTGCACAAGTAGATGAGAACCAATTTTCTATTCTTTCTTTGTATTTAAAAACTATATTATTTGCGCTATCTAATTGAACTACACTATATTCTATCCTCATTCCATTCCAAGTATTTTCTCTACTGAGTGAGTCATCTGTGTAAAATACTACTTCTTCCTTTTTTTTATTTGCCTCTAATCTTTCTTTGAGTTCTTTCCTATTTTTTGTATTCTGAATAACTTAGTTAATTAGCTCTGCTTCTTAGCTTCCTTCAATCTCGACATGCTCTAGATTCTTAAACTCTTTAAACTCTTCTACTTTGCTTTTTCAGTTTTCCTTTCCTATTTTTTCCAAGTACTTTCTATTGAATACTACTTGTAGTATATTATCTTTTTTCTAAATGAAGCT